ACAGGCCCAAATAGTCCCTCGTCGAAATGTCTGAATCCCAAAGGTCGAGTCTGGATCCAATGTCGTCAAGTCTCAAGTCACAACTCTCTCTCTCTCTCGGTAGTAACCTGCCGATACTGAGAAGTCAGGTGGGGAGAGGGGAAGAAGAGACGGTGGACATAGAGGAGGAAGAAGAAGAACTCTCTCTCTCTCTCTCTGTGTCCAGTACTAACCTGTGAAGTTGGCGCCTTGATGCAGGTACCTCGAAGGTGGAGCTGGAGCTATGGCGCCACAGGTAAGTACCGCTGGCCTCCGCCAGCCATCTCCCTCCACTGCCACTACTACCACCTACTAGCGCCCAGCGCTGAAGACTACAGCTATGGCTATGGGCGCCCAGCGCCGGAGACTACCACTAACGCTACTACTACTGCCTAGCGCTGAAGACTACTGCAGCCTCCCAGCGTGATGCCTCCTACTGCAGGGCGGGCCAGTCTTATATAGAGCTGCCCGTGCAGTAGGCCGGTAGGCTGCTCCTTGCTGCTGCCGAGGTGCAGGAGGCTGCTCTTGCCAATGCCTCCGCCTGCCAGGCCCTGCGGAAGTTTCCTGGAAGTTTCCGGTAGGGCTTCCGGAAGCTTCCGTAGGGAAGTCTGGTCTGAGGGCTTATAAGCCCTTGGTCTGACAGGCCCTGCCAGGCTTTCAGTCTGGCAACCGTTTTAGGACCTGTAGGGCCTGAACTCGGTTGTCAGGCTGAAATGTCTCTGGGGCCTGTAAGCCCTAAGTTTTAGGCTTCAGTCTGGCAACCGTTTTAGGGCCTGTAGGGCCTGAATTCGGTTGTCAGGCTGAAATGTCTCCGGGGCCTGTAAGCCCTAAGTTTTAGGCTTTTAGGCTGACTGTCTGGGACGGGCCCTGTAGGGCCCGTGTGGCTACGCAGTATGCCACACTATTGCACCAAAGAAATCTGCACGTCTGCTCAGTGCATCAGCGACAACATTAAATTTACCCTTGACTGGTTTCAATTCAAAATCAAACTGGTCAATCTCCCAGCCCACATAGTCAGTTTAGGAGTCATTCGGGCTTGGGTCTTCAACCAGCGCAGAGTCTCATGGTTTGAATATACCTTGAAGTGTCGCCCTAACAGGTAGTGTCGCCAGTGGTCTAAAGCCTGCTTGAGGGCGAAGAGCTCACGCTCATAAGTCGAGGTTGCTACCTTCTCACTAGGGAGCCTGCAAGACATAAACTCCACGGGCCTGTACCCATTTCCATCATTCTGTTGGAGAGCAGCGCCAATGCCATACTGGCTGGCATCGGTAGTAACGACAAACGGTAAAGATGGGCCAGCCACTTTAAGGACCGGGTACTCGATGAGGAACTTCTTCAACTTCTTGAAGGTTGATGTACAATCTGTCCCAGTTCCAGATAGTTTCGTTTCGCAGCAGCCTGCACAAAGGAGCAGCAATGGAAGTGAAATTACGAACGAACTTCCGGTAATAGTTGGCCATTCCTAAGAACGACTGCAACTCCGTCAATGTGTGCGGGGTTGGCCAATCACGAATTTCTGCTATCTTGGCATCCTTCGGTCTCACTCCATCTCCTTGTACTGCGCGTCCCAAATACAAGACTTGGCGCTTGACCCATTCACACTTCCTCGGATTAATCTTGAAATTGGACTCTCGCAACTTAGTTAGTATCTGACGCAGATGATTCTGATGCTCCTCCAAGCTCGTGCTAAAAATCAGAATATCATCCAAATAAACTACAACAAACCTATCTAACCAATCCTTAAACAGATCATTCATGCATCTTTGGAATGTTGCAGGGGCATTAGTCAATCCAAACAGCATCACCACAAACTCTATAGTGACCGTAGCGGGTCTTAAGGCCGTCTTAGGCTGATCTTCCGGTTGCACCTCAATCTGATGGTACCCAGACTTCAGGTCAATCTTGGAGAAATACTTACATCCTTGCACCCTGTCTAAGAGGTCATCAATCCGAGGCAACAATTCAGCATTCTTGACCGTGATAGCATTCCATCCTCAGTAATCAATGCACAAACGCAGTTCACCCTCTTTCTTCGGCACAAACAGAACTGGTGCGCCGTACGGTGACGAACTGGGTTTTATCCACCCCTTCTCAATCAGCTCATCGAGCTGCCTGCGCAATTCATCCAACTCCTTGGGAGACATTTTGTAAGCGGGGCCCCTAGGAATCTTGCTACCGGGCTCTATCTCAATCGGGTGCTTGATCTCCCACTCCACCACTCCGGTTGGGGCTTCTCCTACATCAGCAAAATCTTGCAGCAGGTTTTCTACTCGGGGCGGTATCTTGTCTTCACCCTTATTCACTCCACTCACTGGTTTCACATAGGCCACAAAGACCTACTCTTCCAACTTCTCTTTGGTCACGTGTCGGGCGAACACAGGCGCACTCAAACAACAAATGGACAGTTGGGACTCTAGACCCGACTCGTGGAACAACCTTATCTTCTTCTTGCCCCCAGTGGGGCTGGGCAGCCAACACTCGTGCTCACCCAACTTGACATCTACCATGGCTGCTTCTCCCCAGTCTGTCCTAAAATCAGGTTGAAGGGGAGAATGTCCTCCACTAAGAGGGTAAGGGAATGTAGAACCTTCTCTACCTTCTTTCCCTCCTCCAACTGAAAGTATGCCTTGATCCTCTCGACATATTCCTCCACGCGCAACTCACGATTGTCGGCCAGTCTACTCACTACTGGCTCTCTCAACTTCCGCACCTTCATTCCTAGATGCAATTTTCTGAGTCCTTTTCTGCTAATAAAACTACACGTAGAGCCACTATCCACTAAGGCTCCTACTCGCACCCGACTTATCTCTGCATCTCCCAAAATTAGCTGCCCTCTTCTCCTCTTCATTTTGGCCCAGGTGGGGTGACGAGTGATCAACTCATCACCGATGTCTGCGAGGGAACCGCCTAGAGGGACCCTAGTACAAGCAGTCTCTGGAAAACCATCTAGGCGGGGATCTTCAAGAGTCTCTGCCATTTGGGACTCCAGATAGGAGGGTGCCTGTTCAGCGCGCGCTTCTAGCCTGTCTACGCCTGAAGTCCCAGTAGGAGCAATTGCGCCTCCTACCGGCTGTTCCCTTTTGGATAGCGGTAGTTTGGGCAAAAACAGACAATGTGGTTGGGATCACCACATTTCAGGCATTGGTTGGCATTTAACCTTTGCTGCCACAGCGAACGGTCTTCCGCGTCCACTTTACGAGGAACCGTTACCCCTACCTCCCACATAATAGCTACCTTTGCTATTATTCGCCTGGGTCTCACGTCCTCTGCCTCCACCTCTTCCTCGACCTCCTCTACCTCGGCCTCCTCTTCCTCTTCCTTGCCCTCCCCCGCGGGCGACAATAGCCGCATAGTCCCACCCTGGTCTACTTGGCTGTCATTCGGGCCGTCAAGCACGTAGTCTATCCTGTCATATGGCAAGGCCTCAGCCCCACCTTCTTCGAACGTCACCAATACTTCATCCTTCCCTTCGATATAGTTGTTGACCGTTTTGTTCTTCTAGCGATTCCCTTTCTGCAAGTCCTTATAATAATGGCAATAATTTGCCTCCTGCAGGAATCCGACTTTATCTACAACCTTCTTGCTGAAAACGTCATAGGTCACCCCTTCTTGCGATGCCTCCTCATACATTTGAGATTTAAGAGGTTCTGGGAGTGCGCGTGCAAAGTTCATGAGGAGTTGTTTTGGGGTAAGGCCGTGATCCTGACACTGCAGCAGGCTGTCCATTGTAGCGTTGATTGTTGAGACACTCTTCCACTTACCGTTGCTGATATTCAGGATCTGCTGCTCTGTCTTGCGACCGAGGTTCTTGTCTTCAAACCTCTCCCTAATGGCCTTCATGAAATATTGATTGTGGGTCTGTTGGGAATATTCTACGATCGTCGCATAGCCTGCCGCTTTGACTAGTGAGATGGCAAAGTTCGCAGCATCCCCTCCCAAGCACGAATTGATCATGATCACGCGGTCCCAGTACGGTATACATTGCCCGTACAGGTATAAAAATTCTCACCCCTAGCGCCGGTGTAGGTTGTTCGCAGTTTCATTTTCATTCTTTGTCTTTCTCCTCCTCCATGGAGCTGTCTCTACCTGTGATCTCCTCCTTTTCCTGCATCGCCTCCATTTCCTCCACCTCCACTACCGCCACTTGGCTTCCTCTCGGCGATGGTGTTGTCAATCTTTTGGGTGACGAGCTTGTCTAATTGCAGGGCATAGTTTGTTGTTCGCTCATCTATCCGACAAGCATTTGCAGAGAGGAAGTTGTTCCAAACAATCTGGAATGCATGTTGTTGGCACTCGATGTGTGTCAAGGTGTGTTGGATAGCAGCTAGAGCCTGAGAGTGGTGGAGGAGGGTGTCAGTAGTCAGTGTCGTCCCCTCCTCCGTCGCCGCCTCCTTCCTTTTCTGCTCCTTCAATCTCTGCTGGAGCTTCTCCCCTTCCTCCTTCAATCTCTGCTGCTCCTCCATCTCCTTTCTCTTTTGGGCCACAGCCTTCTGACGCAGGGAGATTTTTTTTCTTCCAACAAAATTTCTCCCCCTTTCATCTGCAGCCCTTTCCAACCGGGCCACAAAATTTTTATGATCGTCCTCTGTCTCTGCCGGCAACTCAGCATGGAAGCCAAACTGTTTCACCCACTCCTCATCATCACCCTGATATACTTTAATGTGGGTGGCTGTACTAGTCTCTGCACCGCTAGTTTTCTCTTCCTCCTCCTGCACCTCAACTTCCTCCTCAATGATCTCTCTCGATGCCTCTTCCAATTCCTTCTGCAACCTCTCCTCCATCTCTTTCTTCTCCTTCTCCAGTCTCACCTTCTCCTCCTCCATCTTCTTTCTTATCTCCTCCTCTTTTCTTTGATTTCTGCTGCTTTTTTGCCCCTCTCTTCCTACAGTTCCGCCTGCATCCTCGCCTGTTCAATGTCGGTATACGGTACGGTACTTATTCCTCATTTGGTGGTCACAGCCACCCTGCAGACGCGCGCAAAAACCAACGGGAATATCAAGCGGAACAACGGTTCCCCGATCATGGAAAGGGCCAGGAAACCAAACATGGGATAGTCACCTATGGTAAGTGATGGCGCAGGTATGTATGACTCCGCCTCCTCGCCACTTAGACTTAATCCTCAACACCTATCTTTTTTTTTTTTTTTGCTTTTTTTTTTTTTTTTTTTTTTTTAAACAGGGCCTTATGATCCTGGCTCCTATTCTGGGGAGAGTCAGTCCGGTTCTTATTCCACCGGCAAGTCAAAACGTACATTACATTGAAGAACCACGCACGCTTCCTTCCGTCTGGCCGAAGGACCCCAGAGCAGCATTGATTGCTCCACCTTGGTGGAGGATTGACTGTCAGCTTGCCGTGCTACACTCTTTCCTCTCAGACCTGGAACCCAGATCGGTCAAATAAGTCTATTCCTTCTAGAAAGAGGTCGCCCCTTGTCAAGCTAGCGGGTGAACACCCATTTAGCCATCCTTCTCATGAGCCACAGCCTCTCCTGTCCCTTCTTACCTGCCTTCCCCTTTTCTACATGTCACTAAAACCCTAGACCCTAAACCCTCGTTTGCTAACCATCACCACGCTACGTCCTTAACTTATTTTCCTTTGCTCCCTTTTAAGCCCCTCTCCATTTGAACCTTAAATTACTTCCACTTATGGTTGCCACCACTCCCTGGCCCAAAATGTTCTGATTGAAGCGTTTCGTTATCTCTTCCTCTTACTCCGGTCGGAAATATATTTGCTGCCTTGCTGCTTTCCACTGCGCCCTCAGAACCGTTTCAATCAATGTGAGGAATATCTCCCTTGCTTCCTGCTTGTGCATTGGCCGACCTTCGATCGTAATTTGGCACCGACGCTTCCAAATGGTCCATAGACAATATTGACGTATCAATTTAAACATATGCTTCTCAAAAGTCTGCCAATGTTTCGAAATTTGGAGGCCCAGTAGTATAGCTATCTTGGTTTCAGGGAACTTAGCTTTTGACATCTGACCCCATATAGTCCTTGCTTCTCCCCATATTGCGATTGCTTCCTCACATTCCATTAGGCAATGTTGCATTGTTTCTGGGATTTACCCCTGGAACACCTATCTTTTCTAATTTAGAGTCAGACTCTAATTTGACGGGACTGACACCTACCGTACTTCACTAGCAGCAGCCGTCACCAAGAAATTTCGTGAAAACTTCACAAAACAACAAAAAAGGTCCAACATGGTTCAGGGCAGAAAACACTTCACTTCGGTCTTCACGGTGCCGCTCCCCACCGATCTTGATCTGCTGCAGGTACGTATCTCCCGCTCCAAGTTTGATTCAGCACCTTTTTCACATTTCTCGCATGCTACAGTGAAACCCCGTCATGAACACACCCGCGGGCCTTATGCCTTGCCGGCTTTCTTCCATCACCGCAGTGCAACGGGTAACTGCTCTGATACCAGTGCAAGGATCCTGACACTATTTCACTTGCAAAGCAACATGCAATCGAGAGCAATTAAAGAAAGCTCAAATGAGCTTGAGATATGGCCATGAACAGTGCAAATTCGAAGTTCCACTCGGATACAATAATATACAATTAAAAAAAAACGGAATTCGGCAGTAGCTACTGCTGAAACAACCCCCAACTCCGATCCTGACTTTCCCCTGTCCGATCCGCTGCTTTTCTCTTAGTTTTTTTCTCTCTCTCGCGCTCTCTCTCTCCTCTCTCTCTTCTCTCTTCTTCTTCTTCCTTCTCTGCACTGTTCACCCTCATTGCTCTCCCTTTTTGTTCTCTCCTCCATCTACGTCCTAGATCTACCCTGAATTCTACTGCAGCGTGTCTCTCTCAACATCAGGCGGAGATGGCCACCAAGTCTGCTTCTCCCCCTCCTGGCTATGGCTGTCTCCTTCAGCCGGGGCACTGGGCATCTTCTCCCTTCAGCGCACTTCTTCGTCAAGGTCGCTAGTTCGCACAGCTCCAACAGCGCTCCACAAATTTGTGAAATGGACAACTGCCTCTGTCTGGTACTGTAGCCCAAATATATTGTTTTCGTGGGCTGGGCCTGCCTGCTGCGATTGGTACTGGCCTTCTTTTGCCTCTGCCCTGCGAAGTTGCTATTTTGGAAAGGTTCTCACGTTTCTTGTGAGGCTGCTGCAAAAACTGGACGACTCTGTAACAGGAACTGGTAGGCTTGCAGCGTGAATCCATTCAATGAAGCCCCTTTTTTACCAATTGGTCTAGCTCAGTTGGTACACCCGTGAACTGTTAAAATACAGACCTGAGCGAGTTTGAACTCCACTGTGAAGAAAATGAGTAAAGTACTACAATTCTGAATTACCTAGGGCCAGTCAGTTCGATGTTGACATCTGAAGACCATCGCCTTTTTTTTTTTTTTTTAAGCCCCTGTTTTTCTCTGTAAAGAAGAAGAACAAGAAAGAAAACAGAATGTGCATGGTATGGACTGGTGCCAAAAGCAACAGTATGGTTAAATTGGAAAGACATATGCAGCATCGCCGTGACTCTCAAAGATATGAAGAAGTCCAGAGAAAAGGTTCTTGGCAGCAACCAAGAATCTTATTGAGGCAGAGATCTTATGCAAATGGTGAAAGACTAACGTCTTCCCTCGAACAAAACGTACGGTCATTCTGCCTGTATTTGGCACAGCTTTCAGTCCAGATGCAGCGAGAATGACAGTACATTCTATTCCGGTGAAGACGGTATACTTCGCATCCAAAGTGACCCGAACTTATATTTGTGTTCAAAAGGGAATTTCAATGTAAGTGGCTCGCGAAAGGAAAGGTGGCACTTATCCGAGGACTACCTTCTTCCCCCGAATACAATGTACGGTCATTATAGCTGTATCTAGAGTCTAGGCTGAAAGATGCCGTATGTTGTATTCGGGGAAAGAAGCACCACATCAGCAATGCCTGGCGCACAGAATAGAGGGCACCAGCATGCCACCACAGTCCCGTGTCGTTGTCCACAGTGCTAGCGCAAAGCCAGCATCAAGCCAGCATCGAGCCAGCGTCAAGCCAGCGACCAGCCAGAGTCAAGCCAGCCTCAAGCAGCATAGCAAGACTGAATGTTGACCACCCGGAGACCAAGCCTTATGTAGCATTTGGCGAGGCTGTCTGGCCTCAGGTCCCCCAGCAACAGTCGTCCAGATTGACTCACAGTCAAGGGCCTGGATTGCATACAGTCGCAGTCTTCCCTTTGGTCCTGATGCCATCTGGGTACCTGCATACAAACAAGTGTGTGCGTGTGACCGGCGGCCTGGGATGGGTACACTTTGACTTTGACTGTTGGGCGTCTGACAGTTGACTTTAGTGAACTGTCACCCGTCCAGGCCCTGAATTTTTAATACTCCTTATGGACCTGGCTCCATATCCATTCTGGGGAGCATCAGTTCAGTTTTTATTCCACCGGCAAGTCAGATATACACAAGGACAGCCTCATGCTTCCGTCCCTTTGGCCGAATGACCCCTGGGCAGCAGCGATTGTCCCAGATGCCTGGAGGATTGACTGTAACTACAGATATGCTACCTACCGCTGTTCGGAAAAAAAAGAAGAAGATGAAGAACAGCAAGTTCCTGTTCCATTCAGAGGAGTGTCAGTTTGGTTCATTTTTGACCAGCAAGTCATCTTTCTCTTTTATGAAGTTTTGCAAAAGAGACAAAACCATAAAGACTCAGGATCCAACACCATAATAAGACACTAACTTCATGATTCGACCAAGTTCCAGAAACTTTATAAAACAATGGTAATCGATTGCTAAGGAGTGTGTAACAACTCACCTGCCGAATCGATCAGCCCCAAAAATGGATGGCACTGAAGCGTGTGACCTATGCTCGGCTGTCGTGGCAATTCTAATTCTGCGGAGAAAGAAAAAACAAAAAAAAGAGGTCATCATGGTCCTGGTTCCATGTCCATTCTGGGGATCGTCAGTTTGGTTCTTTTCCCAGCAGCAAGTCATGAGGCAATATTACAACTCACTCACGTGTCCTTCCAACCGGCCAAAGGACGTCTGATCAACATTGATTGCTCCATAATAGGAGGATCGACTGTCATCTTGCCATTCTCCTACCCCTACCTCCCAGATTCTACCCCAAGCCTCTGTCTGGATCCCGTTGATAGCCAGACCTGATCTCCATTAGCCTTCCTGGTTTTCAAGTGCATGGATGATCTGAATTAGTAAGATGTCGCGCATGCCACTTCTCTGCATTGCTGATGTGGCGCTGCCACCTGTCTACATTGCATTGCTGATGTGGTGTTGCCACCTGTCTTCATTGTTGATGTGGCGCATGCCACCTGTCTCTATTGTTGACGTGGCATTGGCCACACTGTCTACATGAGGTGACTGGTTGCGACAAGGAGGGAGATTGGGATCTGTGGACGATTGAGGGTCGGGATACTTACCTGAGGCTGACGTCGATATTGTACGCTGCTGGTTGTCTTCATTGTCTCCATGGGAGAACAGTGCCACGTGGCACTTCTATGTGATCACGACTTTCAGATTTGTTACTGTATATTGATTGTTGACGAGTAAGGAGAGGAAGCCCGGAGAAGGAGTGGGAATTGATTGTGTTGATCTTGAGTGGTCACTGATTATCTCTTCCGCCCTCTCCTCTGCCTATTCTCCCTCCACCCTCTCCGTCTATTGGTAACGAGATATTGTATCATCACTTCACGTTAATTGGAGACATTGTGCAAATCTGAGACTACTTGTACATCGACGTCTGATGAGTACCTTCCGGTATGGGTTCATTACAATTTGGCATCGGAGCATACCTCCTTCATCGCAATCTGCTGTGAGGTGCTGATGTGGCACCCAGGTGAGTGGGAGGTGTCGCATGAGCAGGAACGAAATGCGTTTATTAATACCGCAGGTCTAGACATTGAGTACCGCACATGCGTGCAGCCTCCCTTG